AAAAATAAAATTCCAGAGTACACTGGACTGTTTCCACTCTGCTCCCTCTCTTCATTTCTTCTGTTGAGTCTCTCATTCACTGCAGTACTGTCAGCCTATTACTTTCAGCTTGAATGTCACCTCTGATTAGTTTCCCTCTTACTGATTAACACATTGTTAATATAAATGCTTTCCTCTCAGAGCTCACCATACTGAATTATAATTATTTTTTACCTGCCAAAACTTTAAGTTCCCTGAAGGCAGAGAACTGATTTATATTTCTATTATATCTTCTGCACATTGTCTAGAAGGTAGTAAGCACATAGTGAAATACCAACTGTTTTTAGAAGGATGAAAGAAAATAATTTTGCTGTTTGAAAAAGTTATGATAACTTGATAGCTTGATTGGAATAGAGACCAAATACTGGTGTCATTTCCTTCTCCTTCTCCCCCTCTCTCTCTTTTTATAAAGAAACACATGTATTTCTACTAGCTGGTACACTTACAAATCACACAAAGATACATATTTATTTTTAAAATAAAGACTTGAAAATGAAACCAATTCATCAAATTTTTACCAAAGTATGACAAGAAATCTTTTATGCAAAAAGTAAAAATTGATGCAGAAATAACCCTCAACTTTTCTAATATCTTAAAAATCACATTAATTCTATAATAGACTATTTCTAAATATGGAATTTTAATTGTACCTTGCCCATTTCTGTCATGCTTACAATAAAAAAAAAGTGCTCTAAGTATAATTAATGGAATTATTACATTTAAAACTTTTTCTTCATATAAAAGATAACAATCACTTCATTTTTTAAAAATTTATTATTACCATACACTAATTTTTTTTAAATTCCTTTTTTTTTTGAGAGAGAGAGAGAGAGAGAGAGAGAGAGAGAGAGAGAGAATTTTAATATTTATTTTTTAGTTTTCGGCAGACACATCATCTTTGAATGTGGTGCTGAGGATCGAACCCAGGCCGCACGCATGCCAGGCGAGCGCGCTACCGCTTGAGCCACATCCCCAGCCCCACAATCACTTCATATATTAATTTTCTACTTTATATTGTACTAAGATTACTTTACATTAAAGAACTACTTGATGTATCATCATGACTACTTAGGTACATTCTTTAATATTCACATCTACCTTAATGTATATGTCACAGTCCATTTAAATAAATTTTCTAGTAGATATCAAATGATCTAATAACATAGCACTACTCTTTTTAAGAGCAAATATTGAGGTTTTATTATGACTGCCTTTGGGAAATACACTGAATTTTAAAAACACAAGTAAATCACTCATGGTACCTGACGTTGATTCTTCATTTATTTTTTTGAGAGTCCCTCCTATCCCCTGCCTTTGGATGTATTGGGAATTGACCCCAGGGATGCTCTATCACTGAGCCATATCCCCAGACTTGTTTTTGCTATTTAGAGATAGGATCTCCCTAAGTTACAAGGGCTGGCCTCAAACTTGCCATCCTCCTACCTCAGCCTCTGGAGCCACTGGGATTATAGGCATGTGCCAACACACCCAGCTTGAGTCTCTACCTACCCAATGGTGCTTAATGACTGAGCCACATCTCTAGAGCTTTTAATTTTTTATTTTGAGACAGGGTCTTGCTAAGTTGCTTAGGGCCTTACTAAATTACTGAGGCTGGCTTTGAATTTGTGATCCTCCCATCTCAGCCTCAGGAGCTACTAGGATTACAGTCGTGAGTCACCGTACCTGGTGACTCTCTACTTTTAAATACAACATTTATTTTACTACAAAATGAAGAAAAAATAAAAAATGTTCTTTTATCCAGTGAAGAAGAATTATGAGAAGAGAAATAATAATACTTCAATGCTGATTATATTTTATAGAACTTAAAAATTCAGTTTTCATTGTTCTGCTGTGTTATGTTTGTATGTGAGGTGTCCCTCAAAAGCTCACATGTGGGACCATGCAAGAAAGTTCAGAGAAGAAAAGATTGGGTTGTTAGAGTCTTAACCCAATCAGGGAGTTAATCCCCTAGTAGGGGGGTGGCTGGAGGAGGTGAGAATTGGGGGCATGGCTTTGGGGTATATATTTTGTATCTGGCCAGTGGAGTCTCCCTCTGCTTTCTGATCATCATGTGAACTGGTTCTCTCTGCCACACTCTTCCACCATGATGTCTTGCCTCACCTTGAGCCCCAAGGAATGGAGACAACCTTCCGTGGACTAAGACCTCTGAAATCGTGAGCCTTTGAATAAACTTATCCTCCTCTACAATTGTTCTGGTCAGGTCTTTTAGTCGCAGCAGCAAAATAGATCACTAAAATAGCTATAGCTTTTTATTTAATAATATAAATAAAATGTTGAGAGTCTTACAAGATGATGACTTTGGCTTGGAGTATCATTCAGTGGTCAAGTACATGATCAGCATGTGCAAAGCCTTGGGTTAAATCCCTGGCACCCCCCCAAAAAAATTATGATTACAATTAAAAAGCTTTGAACCAGGAGGCTGGGAATTTAGCTTAGGGGTGGTACACTTGCCTACCATGTGTGAGGTGCTGGTTTTGACTCTAGCACTGCAAAAAAAAAAAAAAGTTTGGAACTGGAACAGTATGATAAATCTAATGGCAACCTCTTAAACTCCATTTTAAGTTATCTCTGCTTTCAAATAACACTTTAAAATGTTCTCATATAACCAGATTATGATTGCCGTCATCAGCTTAGGGATATTTTTTCAGTGTTCAAAGTTATAATGTTTGGCATCAGAAAGGATATTGGCATCAAAAAATGTGTTGGAATCACTTTTGATTTGTGAATTAAAAATTAAAAATCTAGAACTAGCGCCAGTGGTTCCTGTGACAGGGTAAATATTCCCCTTCGAGTAATGTTTGCTTCACAATTAAAGTAATATTTTTATTTTTCCCTCAGAGTTTATTAAGGAAAAGAAATTACAAACCACAATTTTTTTTTTTCAGTTGAGGTGAAAAAAACTGCTTCATAAGTTCATATGTTGTAAAAGCCACTGCTTGAGAGGGAAGATACCAAATGTATATCTCTTATTTTCAAGGCACAGAAACTTAATTCCAGTAACCACAAGTAATCTGAATGGAGTAGCAGTAAGAAAGTCAGAATATCAAAATAATCTAAAAAACCAAGACTATTAAGTGAGGCAGGTTAGAGTGATAGTCAGCTCTGGGTTGCTGGGACAGTATAGCTGGCAAGAACAACTGAAGAGGAGGGAAAGTTTATTTTGGCTCATGATTTCAAAGATTTGGTGCATAGTGTGCTGACCCTCTTCCTCTGGGCCCAAGGTGAGATTTATTAACATACAATAGGTTTATTAACATATAGGATTTAACATATAATAGGTTGATAATTTTGGAAAGGCATCCAGAGGGAAGTTGCTCAGAATGTGGCAGCCAGAAGCAGGAAGAGGGAGAAGGGGAGAAGAGGCCTGAAGAAAGATACATTCTTCCAGGGCACACCCCAAGTGACCTACCACCTCTAGCCACACTCTACCTGCCTACAGTTACCAGCCGTCCATTTAAACTAGGACTGACTGATGAGGTTTCAGCTGTCACCATTCAGTCATTTTACCTCCAGCCATTCCTGCATTAACACAGGAGCTTTGGGGAGACATCTCATATCCAATCCATAGCAGTCTCTTCAACACTTTTTAGTAACATTAAGACATTATTTCATTGTCATTGTTGTCACACTGGCCCTGTGCCCAAGAATTGGTAGGTAGAACTGCTCATGTCTTAGCAGGAATCAAGGCAGTTGGACCAAGATGAATTACTAGTCATATTCTTTTCACCATTATAAACTTTCAGTAAAGAAAAATACCAGTCCTCTTTAAAAATGACTTGGATGGAGCAGAAAACTTTTTATTAAGTCTTTTAAATATTCTGTTTGACAAAATGAGAAGTATCCTTACAGCATTCCTGCTGCATGCCAAAAGCTCAGCAGTTGCCTAGAAGACATGTGTGATTATATTCTGAGCTAGCTGGGTTTTTGTTTTTAATGAAATATCATCTTTTTACTTGGAAAAATAACATAAAAGCAAACTATGACTATATTTAGATTTGGATGTTTGAGAGACATATTTTGGAAAACCTGTTACTTCAAGTTAAATCATGGACAGTGTTAACAGTGATCAAATTCAAGATTTCAAGCAAAAATTTGGACTTTTTAATATAAGGAATGTGTCAGTATTTGAAAGATCTGCACAACTCAGAACCAGAATTTTAAAAAATGACCATTGTATGATGATACCAAATTATGTACATATGGAAGATTCATTCAGAAGACAAAGAAGACCAATGGATTTTAATGTAGCAGAATATAAAAAGTCCTTTGATATGCTTTTATATTTCATATTATGCTTAGGTTTAAGAAAGTACCACTTATCAAGTTTTGGTATAATATCAAAGAAGAATATCCAGTTATTTTGAGGAGACATAGTCATGAACCAGATTTTTATTCACATAGTTTTGTCAAAACACATACAGCAACAAATTTAATGAAAAAGTAGATATGAAAATCCAGCTGTCTCCTTATAAAGGCAGACATTAATTTGCAAAAGTATAAAAGAGTGCTATTTGTCTCACTAAATTTTTGTAGTTTTGGAAAGCAGTTATTTTTTATTAAAGGATTTATTAACATAATAGTTTGATAATTGTTTCTTTAAATGGATTAATAAATATAAAGTCCTCAGCATTAATGCTAGATAGTAAATATTGATAGATATAATCCACATAAACAGAAGTTTTTTGAAGTCTTTAATGATTTTTAAGAATGTAAGAGGATTTTGAGACCAAAGTTTGAGAATTGCTATTTCTATGTAGTGCTGAGATTATTTTCCGTCAAAACTTCTGACACTTGACAGCATCTTTTCATAGAGTGCAACATATCATGCTTCAGCTGGATATAACAACTGTATCTTTGTTATTTTAATCTTCGTTTTTCTTGTTACCCTGCCTTTACTACTTCTGTCATTATATAGCAGGTCTCATACATCTCGTATACTTTTGCAGGGGGGAAGTCCCCAGCCCACCACCCAACCATACTTGCCATGTGTACCCCCACTTAGATTTTACAAAAAAGAGAATCCTGTGTGCATAAGTTAAGGTGAAGAGACCAGCTCCACTAGCCCCCCTGGTGGCAAAAAAGGAGAGCTGCCCATGTTGTGGCATTCAACCAAGGGGTTTTGGAAGTGGCAATGGTCTCCCGTGGTGATTCTTGTCCCCTGGCAGCCAATTGAGGGTGAAATGTCCAAATGTGTGTTTAAGATTCTATGGGATTATTTTTGTTTTGTGTAACATTTTGTGTGTACACACACACACTCTCTCTCTCTCTCTCTCTCTCTCTCTCTCTCTCTCTCTCTCTCCCCCCCCCAACACACACAAATGGAGAGAGAGACATAGATCTGTCCTGTTTCTGGATGAAGCACCATGCACTGGCTGAGAAGCTGAACCCTGTTTCTGGGAGCTATGGTGATAAGCTGGCCCTCCAGGCCTGAGAACCTGCTCTTCTATGGTCGTGCCAGTCTGATTTTGAGATGCACAGGTTTGGAGATGTAAGGGCCATTTATTCCTTTGGGCAGTCCTTGTCATGTGAGGAAAGGACTCCCATGAGTTGGGAGGCCTTTGGAAGGTACTTGTGAACGTTGTGTCCCTGTAGAGGTGCTGTGTAGTCCTCACTACATAGGGATTCTTTTCCTGCGGATTAAGGGAGGCTGTCAAAGCTTGTGGTGTTGCTGCCCGAGGTATTCTGAGGTGTGTTCTTGGACTGTCTGTCAGTGCTCAGGACTAGGAAGCTGCTATCTGTTCATGTCATATCAGGTCATGACCTACTGAGGGTGACAGACTGCAGTGTGCAGTGGCCGGGTGGTTGAGCAGTAGGAGGTATTTGGAAGGAGCCACAGTCTCCCTATTGGCAAGAGGTTGGCTGGTTCTGAGCGGAAGGGACATCTACCTCACAGGACCTGTCTTTTCAGGGAGTCTCACATTGAAGTCTTGTCAGATCTCCACCTGCTCAGGCTTTTGGAAATAGAGGGGATGGGAATTTTTTAGACTGGGGAGATCATGGGGAGCCAGATCTTTTCACTGAGGTCCCAACAGTTAATCTCTTAAAAAAAAAAAATCTTACAGAGAATACTTGAAGAACCTCTTAATATTTTGGGCAGTAGATTCTAGTCTGTAGGGTAAATACACACATACACACATACATACACACACACACACACACACACACGTTTATTTTAGTTATTGAGCCTGTTTTTGGCAATTCTGTGCAGTGCAGTTGGGATAGCAGCTAGATTTAGATGTGAGCATTAGAACAAACATATGCTGGTAGTTACTGATTCTCTCCTTAACAGATGTTTCTATCAAGGCCTTTATTCTAGTGAGTACTATGATTAAAATTTGGGGTATATGTGTATAAAGTCATTATGATTTTTAAAAAAGGTCGGGTTGGGAGAGAAGGAGGTGCTTGTTCTCTGTGAGAAGTTGAATAAATGACTTAGTTTATTTACTCAGTTTTAAAAATTTTAGTGGGAGAAAATAATTTTCAAGATCTTTAAAAACCTGAAATTGTCCCTATAATTTGTAGTCATACAGTTTTTTAAAAAATCACAATTGGGTCAAAAGAATATTACCAACTGTAATTGATATTCTGTTATTGGTTATTCTCTGAAAGAAGTTTTTATTTCCTGCAATTACAGAGTTAAGGAATATTTTGATTTTGTAACTTAAAGTTGGTATAAAACTTAATTCTCCACATATAGAGATTTAAAATTTTTTTGTTATGTCAGGAAGATTATTTTCTTTTGACAAAAGTTCACTTAGAAGCCCTTTAGATAACAACAGAAAAAATAGAGCCACTGTGGTGAGTTAACAACCAAATTTAACTTTGTATAATATTTTATCACCTTGTAAGTGGTAGTCTATTATAACACTATTTAAGAGACACAGATAGTGTCTGCTCTCCTGGTAACTGTAACAAGTAATTCTTTTTTTTTTTTTTTTTCTTTTGGTACTGGGGATTGAACCCAGAGGCACTTAACACTGAGCCACACCTCCAGCCCTTTTTTCAATATTTTTAAATTTAGAGACAGAGTCTTGCCAAGTCACTTGAGTTGCTGAGGCTGGTTTTGAACTCCCAAGCCAGTAGGATTACAGGAGTGTGCCATTGCGTGTGGCAAGTAACTCATTCTTTTTTTTTTTTTTTTAAAGAGAGAGAGAGAGAGAGAGAGAGAGAGAGAGAGAATTTTTTAATATTTTTTTCTCAGCGGACACAACATCTTTGTTTGTATGTGGTGCTGAGGATCGAACCTGGGCCACACGCATGCCAGGCGAGCACGCTACCGCTTGAGCCACATCCCCAGCCCCAAGAAATTTAGGTTGGGATGAAAATAGCCCCATGCATTTTTAATTGTATTACTGTCATGTTTATTATTATTGCATTTATAAAAATGAATTAATAAACTTGTGACTAGTAAATGCTATAAACATGAATATTGTCTTATGAATATTTACCTTTTATGATTTGGTATTATGTCTTTTTTTTTTTTTTTTGTAAAGGAGTCTACCATGGCTCAAGAGTCTCCCAAAAATTCAGCAGCAGAAATTCCAGTGACCAGTAATGGAGAAGTTGATGATTCTCATGAACATGGCTTTAATAGGGTAAGAATACTTTTCTTTCTGTTAATGCAAAGAATCATGATAAGTCTTTAAATGTTTCGATGAAAAGTAACAGAACTTTAGCCAGTATGGTGGCACATACCTGTAATCCCAGCAACTTGGAGGCAGAGGCCAGGGGATCATAACCTCTAGGCCAGCCTCAGCAATTAGCAAGGCCATTTCTTAAAACAAAAAATAAAAGGGCTGGTAGTGCAACTCCTAGGTAGAATGCCCCAGGGTTCAGTCCCCTATATCCAGCTCCCCCACCAAACCAAAACAAAACAAAACCCCCAAAAACTAATAGAGGCATTTTTCTTAAATTGGTTTCCATCAATAATTTATTTTATTTTAGGGGTGTCTAGGTTGGCCATGATGTGATTTGTCATGGTTAAGCTCTAGGGCCATAAGCTTTGATGTTTATTTCAGTAATTGACCAGAATGAAAGCGTGTGTTTGATTAACATATAACTTTATAAAACTACTTAATTTTATTTGTCATAAGAAAAATATTAAATATATATTATCCTTTTAAAATTTGACATTGTTTAATTTCTTTTCTATATGTCATTAATACATTAATTCCTAAGTAGCTGCTCCTGATTTTGCTGTTCACTTTCTAAAGTAGTTTCCTTGACTCGGACAAATTAAAACTTTGGATATTTTTTGTTTGTTTGTTCATCCGACTGTTTTAGAGGTGGCATATTAGGTATTGAATCCAGGGCTATATGCATGCTAAGCACACACTCTACCCCTAAGTTGTGTACCCCCTTCCCTAGCCCAGTGCTTTTTATTTTGATCTCCCTCTAAGTTGAAATTTAAATTTAATATATCTTAATGGGAATACCATGGCTTTGGAGATAATTTGGGTTCAAACTTCAGCTTTATCATTTCAAGCAGTATCATCTTGAGCTAGTATTTATTTAATCTGTTCTACTTTTTTTCTACAATTAAAATCTTAATTTACTTTCATGAGGATATTAATATCATATGAGATAATAATAATACACTCTTAGAAATGATAGTGATAGTTATTATTTCTGTAAGTATTTACACTAAACATTCTTTTTAATGACATTTGATACATGTGTACGACTTTAAAAATAATAATATTTAGATACTTAAAGTAGTAGTTGAAAGGTTCTTAATTTATAGTTTAGATAGGACTCTTTGCTTTATATATTTAAGAATAAAATCCTTTAGTTTAACAGGAAGTGATACTTTAGTTCAGGATTTCTCAATGTCAGCACCATTGACAGCTTGAGTCATACAATTCTCTGTTTGAGAGGTTGTTCTGTACATCTCTATCTTCTTCCTACTGGATTGTAGTAGCACTCTTCTGTTGGTAAGCAAAAATGTTTTCAGGTATTGTTAAATATCCCCAAGGATGGAAGAAATTTATCTCTGTTTTAGATTAGTTTAATTGAGATTAGAAAGTTCCATTGAATTTCTTTTGTTTTTCCTCTTCAAGCTTGAGGCTTTTGCTTTAGTCTGTTTTCTATTGCTATAACAAAATACCCAGGACTTGGATAATTTAGAAAGAAAAGAGGCTTATTCACAGTCCTGAAGGCAAGGAAATTCAAGATAAGGTGCTGCATCTGTCAAGGAACTTACGTTATGTCATAATATGATGGATGATGGCTAAGGCAGGAGTACGTGCATGAGTGGCAAGTGAACACATATGGAAGAGGGATGGGAAAAAGGGAGCCACATGCTTCACAGTAACCTCCTCTTGACTGAACTAATCCAGTTTCTTGAGAAAGACTTTAGTCCCTATCATAGGCACTACTTTCTAGCACGACTACCTTGGCAACCACATTTCCATGAGTTTTGGCAAGGACAGACCACATCCAAACCGTAGTGGTTTATTTTACTTGCAAACATCTGTGGATCCCCCCACCGAAAAAAAAAAAAAACCCAACAACAGTGATTCATAGAAGAAAGAGACTTAAATTCTGAGTGTACAAACACTTGAGGTGTTAGTCTAAGGAAACTCAAGTTATCATCATTACCTTTACCTATTATAAAATTCTGGTCAAATACTCATTATACCAAGCTTTTTATTAGTGGTTTCTTCATTTAATTTTTGGTAACTGCTCTTTTACAAATGTATTTGGCAAATGTTTCTAGTATTGCTATATACCAGGCAAGGCACTAGAGAGATATAACAATGGACAGAAATTCCTGCCATCAGGGAGCTGATATCCCAAAAGACAATCTGGTGAAAGCTAAGGACCTTTATCCAAGAAAAATGCAATGTATACAAAATGCTGCAAGGGTTGGGGTTATAGCTCAGTATTAAGAGCGTGTGTATGCATCAGGTCCTGGGTTCAATCCCCATCACCCCCACCTCCTCCCCACCCCGCAAATTGTAGTAGTCAGTGTTGGGAAAGGCACCTGCCACCTTCAGCCTATTTTTTTCTTGTTGCTCTTTGTTGTTGGAGTATGGCTTATACACAGTTAAAGCACAGATGTGAAGTATACACCATCCAGATCAAGATGAAGAACATTTCCAGGACCTCTGAAGACTCCCTGATGCCCTCTACTGGGCAGTAAATCTAATTCTTCCCAGGGTAACCACCGCTGATCTTAACTATCATCAATAGATTGCTTTTGACTGTTCTTCAACTGTGTATCACTACAATCATGCAGTCTATACTTTTTTTGGCAGGGTTGGGGGGAACCAGGGATTGAACTCAGGGGCACTCAACCACTGAGCCACATCCCAGGCCCTGTTTTGTATTTTTTTTAGAGACAGGGTCTCACTGAGTTGATTAGTGCCTTGCTGTTGCTAAAGCTGGCTTTGAATTGGCTGGCAGTCGTCCTCTCTCAGCCTCCTGAGCCACTGGGATTTCAGGTGTGTGCCACTGCGCCCAACTAGTCTGTACTTTTTTGACAGGCTTTCACTGAATGTTGTATCTGAGATTCATTCATATTGCTACTTATGGCAGTATTTTATTCCTTTAATTGTTTTTTAGTTTTCCATTTGTGTTTCTATTTTTTGGTTGATAGGCTGTTTCCAGTCCTTGACCATTATAAATAAAGCTTCTGTTACTACCTTCACAGGCCTTGGGTGTACACAATTACCTGTTTCTTTTGGGTGCGTACCCAAGAGTGAAACTGGCCAGGTCATGAGTTTAGCAAGTGGTTGAACTATTTAGCAAGTGGTTGAACCAGTTGACAATTTTACCAGCATTCAATGGCAGTTCTGGTTGTTTACATTTCAATTTTAGTCATTCTGATGGAGGCATATGGTTTCCTGTTGTGGTTTTACTAAGCATTTTCCTGATGACTGATGATGTTGGGCATGTTTTCATATTTTTAATGGCCATTTGGATACTGTCTTCTGTGAAGTAGCTTTCCAAGTTTTTTGCTCATTTTTCTACTGGGTGTGTGCTTTTTAAAAATTCTTTTGTATTTTTTGTATATTCTGGGTTTAAGTCATTTGAATGGATATATTACAATATTATCTTCCAGCCTGTGACTTTCTTTTGTACTTACTCTATTATTAATACTATCTGGTGAACAGAAATTATTCGTTTTGTGTGTATGTGTGCTACTGGGGGTTAAACCTAGGGGTGCTTTACCATCACACTATATCTTCAACCCATTTTGTGTTTTATTTTGAGACAAGGTCTAAGTTACTGAAGCTGATTTCTACTGAATTGCTGGGATTACAGTTGTGCATCACCATACCTGGCCAGAAATTGTTAATTTTAATGAATTCCAGTTTATCAGTCTTCCCTTCTCCAGTTAGTGATTTTTGTGTCCTGTTTTTTTAAAAAAAGCTTTGCCTGTTCAGCATATTGATTCTGTTTCTTCTCAAAGTTTTATTGTTTTGCTTCTCTTACTTAGGTCTGTGATTCATCCTAAGTTAATTTTTGTGTATGGTATGAAGCGTAGAGGTTGTAGGTTTTTTTCTCCCTTGCATAAATATCTATCTAGTTAATATAAAATGGGTTAAAGACCCAAACATAAGATCTAAAACTATAAAAACTTCTAGAAGAAAAACTCCATGACATTGGTCTCATAAATGATTTTTTTGAATATGACATCAGATGCACAAATAATTGGGACTACATCAAACTAAAAGCAAAGGAAACAGTCAACAAAATGAAAAGTCCAAAGAATGAAAAAAATATTTACAAATCATATAATGAAAGGTATTATTATCCCAAATATATAAAGGATTTATACAAGTCAGTAGCAGATAAACAACCCAATTAAAAAATGAGGAAAAACTGGCAACAGCGGCACATATATCTCATTTACTCAGGAGGCTGAGGCAGGACAATTACAAGTTAGAGGCCAGCCTGAGCAACTTGGCAAGATCCTGTCAAAATAAAAAGGGCTGGGAATATAGCAGTGGCAGAGCACTTGATTAGCATGCACCAGGCCCTGGATTCGATCCCCTAGTAGTTGCAGGTGGGGGAAGCAAAGGAAACTGAGTAGACTTTTTTCTAAAGAAGAAATACAAATAGTCAACAGTTGTGAATAGGTGCTCAATATAATTTATCCTCAGGAAAAATGCAAATCAAAACCAGAGTGAAATATTACTTCACATCTGTTAGGAATAGCTATTATCAAAAAGTCAATAGCTTAGGTGGGGATGTGGAAAAAAGGGAACCCTTATACACTATTAGTGGGAATGTAAATAACCTTTATAGAAAATAGTTTGGAGATTCCTCAAACAATTAAAACTAGAACTACCACAAGATAGTAAAGATAGAGAAAAAGCAATCCCACTTATGGGTATATATTAAAGGAAATAAAGTCATTATATCAAAAGAGACATCGCACTCTCAAGTTTATTGCAGTACTCTTCACAATGGCCAAGATATATGTCCACTGACAAATGAATGGATAAAAAGAGTGATTATCCATCACACTGATGAGACTATTATTCAGCCTTAAAAAAAAGGAAGAAAATTCTACCATTTCTGACAATTTAGATGGGGCTGGAGGACATTATGTTATGTGAAATAAGCCAGGCACAGGAGGACAAAT